TGGATCAAGGATATCGAAAAAAAAATCGTTTTCGTAGGTAAGGAATGTGTGACTATAATTATAATCAAAAGTATTTTCTTCTTTATGAATGTATGTATTTGAATCGTACATTACATCTTTTGTCTTATTTTCGAAAACCTTCTTTTCTAAAATATTTGAGGATTGTGTAGGAATTTCTATATCTTGTGACTGCGAAGTCACAAAAGTTAAAGTTCCTTCTAAAACGTTGGGATCTTGTTTTTTTTTATTAGGTTTATATCTATAGTTGGGAAACATTTCTTTGTGTTTTTTTAGCGCCTTTAGTTCCAACTGTCTGAAAAATATTCTCACCGAAGGTGGTTGTTCATTCCACCTTTCTGCTGCTAAAGTTGAAATTTTTTTTGAGAAAATTTTTTCGTTTTTATGAAGTAACCGATACTTCGCTTCAAAATCCCTACGAAAGAGAAGAAAACTATTCTGTGGTCTCGGTGGGTCATCGGTTTTTTTTGAACGGCGTGAATTTTTTGAAGGATAAATTAGGTCATCGACATTTAATGTCAATTCGTATGGAACTTGAACAGTGCGCGGCTGTTCATCATTGATGACATACTCATTTTGCAATGAGTAGCCATTAACACAAGAAGAAGAGCCAGCCCTAGTGACGTTAGGGGTGATATTCACAAAGCGAATACCACGGCTCTTAGCAGTTTTACTTGCTCTTTTTTTCATAACGAAATAACTAATATAACATTACTTTTCAATTAAAAGAAAATTAAGTTTAAGGAGACATTGCTTTTAAATAATAAAATTTCTACCATTCCATATACGTACATATATCGGTTATTAAATTAAATAACCTAATGGTTTTTCCGAACTACGCATTGTGCAACAAGAAAAATCACAAAACAAAACAATGAGGTTTTATTTGTGATGATCAAACTTTCTGTAAAAGTTGATTTTTCAATATTATACGTGCGTATATATACATGCACTAAAAAATCTTGATTTATATAATTTTAGAACAATTAGTTCGACTTATTATTACAACCTTTTATTATTTACACTTGATTTTCCCCCTTTTCGCAGAATGCTCAAATAATTATCTATAAAAAAATTTTATATTTTAGCGACCTTTGCTTTATGTAATCTCTTTATACGGAAAAACATAAATTTTAAGTTTGGAAATAAATGTAATGTTTTTGCAAAGGAAAACCATTGTACAACCATAAGCTGACAACAGCTAATGCTTGATATTGGTTCATTCATAATTGACATCTGAAAAAATATTCCTAATTGTAATGAAAGTTCATATTAGTAATGACTAATAAACTCGGAAAAAAACAGATTTTTTAGATTCGTGTTATCATTAACGTTAACATTAATGGACTTGTCAACCAAAAAAGGGAACAATAGCAAAGTTACACGACCTTACGTCATTTAGCACATCTTATTGTTGGTTGAACTGCGGGCACATAACGACCAA